GTTCGGGCCGTTAGTGCGCTCCCGACCCCCGACCACAGCCCCCAAGTTCTCCTCATCCTTCCGATAGAATCAGTCACCCTTTGCTGCTCAATGATCCCATAAAGCTTTATTTTTGGGTTAATCCTCACCCAAGGGTATTTTTTCCATTGCTTTTCAGACCCGGGTGGAGGGGGGAACGGATGGGGAGGACCCCACAACCTAGGTACCTGCCCTTGACTGGGAATCCAACATGGGACCCTGTGGGGCGGGCCAGCGCTCCAACCACTCAGAAGACCGGCCAAAGCTTTATTTTTATTTCTAATGTAGCGCTCCCCAAACGATTAAAGGCGGTGTATGCATGTCTTCTCGAGGCTAGATTGGGAAAACCCTGCAATTAGTTTCTGTTTTGTTCAGCTTTATGCCCCCTCCGATATTATCCACCATCATGCGGGCCCACTGCATCCCTTCCACAAGCATGGAGTACGTTCCACTGAAATCAGAACCTCTCCAAGCCCTTTCATTCCCACTTTTCTGAAACTAAACAAGGGAAGCACTTCTTTCGTTTACGTAGAAAGGATCAACACTTGGTTGTTTCACATGAGCTTTGAGCAAATGTCGGTTTCTAAAGTCTGTGCAGTTATACAGCCGGTCATGAGAGTTGGCTCCACCTGACTCCCAAGTGTATCATGCAGAGAAGTGCATACATACCCTCTCCTCCCTAGTATTGCCCATATGCTCAAATAATAATGTTTTTTCAATAAACACAAGAAATTTCATAGGTGGCAATGACTTTATTAATCAGGTCCACAGCTCCGCCTACAGTCTCTAATCTCAGGGTTTTGTAGCAAATTCACACAGTAAACTACTTATTTCACTATATCTTTGAGACTTTATTTTCTCTTTTACATCTTCTTTTCAAGTGGGACACTGCACTCCTAGGAATCTAGATCTAGGTTCAGAAAAGAGGATCAGCATTTCTATAGTAGTCGGAGGACGCACCACCATAGGAGACACACAGATGTTGCGTTAGGGAAGGGATGCTCACTCTCTTCTGGAGAAGTGTGAAGGAAGGTCCACATTTGCCAAGAAAGTGAAGTCTCAGAAGGAACAATCCCATTCTTTTAGGAACTGCCTCTTTTTTTTTTTTTTCTAAGACTATCTGCTGACAGCCCCAGGCCCCACCCTAGGCAGCTGATTGCAATCCATGAAAGACTAAGTAACATTTACTGTCTCCATTTGTTCTCCCTCTATCAGGATTGAATGTGGAGCAGGTGTGGTCAGCAAAGCAGAAACATCCCCTAGAAAACTGTCAGTTAGCCTGATCCTAGACTAAGCTCCTGGGCATCTCTGAGGAACCCCATTCCTTCCCAAGGCGGTACAAGCGTGATGAAGGGACTCTTAACAGGAACCAAGCAGTCTGCACGGTATCTCCATTCCAAGAAAGAATGCCAGAAACTTCAGACTTCAAATTAAATCTTCCTTTGTAACAGGTTTCTTTCCTGTGATCCAGTTTCCTCTTAATTAATCAGGAGAGATTTGGACTGTGCATTGTTGGAACTCAGCGTTATCAGATAATGTTGAATTCTGAAATCACTTGGGACAGATTTCTAGATAGAGTAATAAAACCTCTCCCAAATTGTTATAATCCTAGGAGGCAAATGACCTCCATGACGAAAAATTGACATTTTAAAAATAAAGTGGCCTTACTATCAGAAGTAATTAACTATTTGCACACTATTTGACAGCCTTTTCTATCAGAGAGGTGAACCACGTGTCAAGATTGGAGAAAAGGATACAGTATTCAAGCCTATAGAACTGCTGTATGAAAAAATGCATTTGTCTCACTGTGAGAACTTTCAGTGCTGAGCTCTGAGCATTTTATCTGGCTTAGTACACATCATAAATGGTTCTTTTTCGGTCCAAATGACCTATCCCATCCTTTTAAAAAAACTATATTTCAATCTTTTCTTCTTTCTGCAAAGGAGGTTGTGTTATTAAAAACAAAAGGTAATGCTTCTTATAGTATTCACTTATTTTATCTTTATATAACAATTTGAAAAGACTGTTATAAATAATCTATGAAATTCAATGTGTGTGAAGGATTAATGTGAAGATTTAAAAACTGATTGGACCAAAATGTTGACCATGGTCTTAATTTAATATGAGCTTAATTTAATAGTGTTTATACAATAATTGAGACCTGGGGCTGGAAAACATGACTACTGTCATCCCTTTTATCTGGGCCTCAATTTTCTTATCTGGAAAATAAAGGTTGGATGAGGTGTCTTCTCAGGTCTGTATGGAATAGAGCTGAAGACAAAAGGAAAAGGCAACTTAGGGTCTTTGCTCACTAGGACGAAAAGAGGCACAGGCTTCGAAGCAGACAGACCTGGGTTCAAATCTCAGATCTTATTTGCTTTAGGAAGTTAGATTTCATTGCACTCAGCTATAAAATGGGACCAAGCTATTTTGAGGGCTGATGAGGTTTAAATTAGAACACACCTATAATGTTCCTAGTACAACTTGTGCACATATTTATGCTTCTATAAATGGTAGGACTATATTTTAAGGTGAAGAAAAACATAAGGCTGAGCGCATGATCGATCTAGCAATTTCCACTCTGGCACCTGGAGAAGAAAGGGAGCGAGCAGATCCCTGTCCTTTACCGGCAGAGATATCCCTCTGCCGTGATGAAACCAGAGCCGTCAGGGTCTAAAAAAAGCACCCCATCAGGGGGAAGGCACCACATCTTGGCAAGAAATGCTTCACATACTTTCATCGTCACCAAACTCTCTTCCCACCCCACACCCTGCTTCTATTTAAATCCGAGGCACTCCACTGGTCCCCACTCACTTTTCGGGTGCCCAGGCTATCAGCAGGAAGAGAAGGGTAGCATGACTACGGGAGAGAAAGGAAGGGAGGAGGGGCCAGCCAAGAGTGCCCTGCGGAAGATACACAGGGCCACCCTGGTGATCAACTTGGCCCGAGGTTGGCAGCAGTGGGCAAATGAGAACAGCACCAGGCAGGCCCAGGAGCCCGCAGGCTGGCTGCCTGGAGGGACCCAGGACCCACCTCAAGATCCTAAACCAGAGATACATCCCACTCCCCACCAGAAAGCCCAGAGCGCCCCCAAGTCTGCCTCCCTAAAGCCAGAGGGGCCTGGGGAAGGACCGAGCTCAGGGGAGGCCTTGGAGGTCTCCCCTATCAAAAGGAAAGAGGTGACCAAAACAGTTGTCAGCAAAGCTTATGAGAGAGGAGGAGATGTGAGCCACCTCAGCCACCGGTACGAGAAGGATGGCGGCACAGCTGGCCCTGGGCAGCCGGAGGATGACATCGACAGGATCCTCCACAGCCACGGCTCCCCCACACGGAGGAGAAAGTGCTGCAACCTGGTATCCGAGCTGACCAAAGGCTGGAAGGAGATGGAGCAGGACGAGCCCAAGTGGAGGAGCGACAGCATAGACACGGAGGACAGCGGCTACGGAGGGGAGACGGAGGACAGGCCCGAGCAGGACGGAGAGCAGGTGGCCGCCGCCCGAATCAAAAGGCCCTTGCCCTCCCAGTAAGTGCATTCATCCGTGGGCTCCTTGGACTGCCGTTGAGCCCCAGCCAGCTCTGGGAGCCCAGCGAGCAGGGCAGTAGCATGGAAGTTAGAGTGAGTCTCAAAGACTGGCAGGCAGGGAAGGCCTGGGGGAAGGCATGCCCCAGAGCTAGACGGGCAGCGCCCAGCTCAGACAAGGACCTTTGAGTAGAGCGCCTCCACTAGGCTGTCTCTCCTTTCCCTTCGAACTCAACACTCAAGTGTTAGCCTCCACAAAAGTGAAACCACCAGAGAGTGTTGGTGGGTGCTTTGGGTAAAATTTTAAAATCAATTGTATAATGAGTAGCAAATTGGCTTCTCTGTAGAGGAAAGTGCTTGCTGGTAGATTGATTGGCTAGACCTTTCCTTTGTCCCAAAGCCATCTGAATTTTATCAGGGGTCACATCTCCCCCAATAGTGCCCATGGCGCACAGCTCCACGTCTCTGTGACCTGTAATCAGGTAGGGGGCTGCTATCTATCGAGAGCAAGCTCTCAAGTCAGACAGACCCAAGTCCAAATGCCAGCTCTAGCCTGACTGTAGTCAATGACACTGTATTACATGCTTGAAAGTTGCTAAGAGTAGATTTTAAATGTTCTACACACACATACACACACACACCCTGATTATTTTTCTAAGCCTATTTCTTCCTTTTTAAAACAATTTTTATTGTTGAAAGTATTACATATGTCCCCCCTTTTCCCCATTGACCCCTTCTAGCCTGCACCCTTCACCCCCTCCGCCCCAGCCTTCACCACACTATTGTCTGTGTCCATGCGTTATGCATATATGCATACAAGTTCTTTGGTTATTAATCTCTTCCCACTCACCTATCTCACCTTCCCTCTTAGATTATTTCCTCCTTTGTAAAATGATGGCAACAGTAATCTCTCGGGATAAATTCTACTGTATTGAGAGAAGTAAATGAGAGTAAGGCTGCCAAGTACTCAGCACAGTGCCTGCGATATATGCTCAATATATGAAAGCTGCTATTATTCATGTAGATTCCATTATTTAGCACTTATTCAAACTTTCAGAAAGAAAGGCATCTGTAAACAAAGAGAAATGCTATTAAAGCTAGGTAATTCAAATACCACAATCCTAAAATATTTAGATGCTAAACATGTACATACACACACACATGTGTGTACACACAGACTGAAACTACCACACTTATTCAGACAAGAAACACATGCTTTATTTTAAGACATTAACTCCACCTTCACATACTAGCAAGTCAGGATATCTCACTCCACAACACAGGATATCACAATATGGGAAAAGTCACTGATGTAATGAATGCCTTTAAACTAACTCCCTCTGGGAACAATGAGATGTGTAGGTGTGCTTTTCAAGTTTTATGAAACAACCAGAAACTAGAGAACATAATTGCTTACCTAATTTGACAAAGAGCTGTCTTACAGTGTGTGACTTTACAGGTATTTTGAAGGAATTAGAACTACTATATTGCAAACTTTCAAGAAAAATGAAATGTCAAACAGATCATTTTAACAATCCCTTGTGCATTTAGTGTGCTCTATGGGTATTTTACATGCTTTTCCCTTTTAACGCTTATAATCCTATGAAGAATTACCCCATTTTAGGCAGGAGAGCACTGAAGCTTGGAGGGGAAGTGTACCTAGCAGGTTTGTGACAAAGCTGAGACATGCCTGTCTCCCAATGCAATTCTTAGACATGGTGCCCACTCACATGCAGTGCCTTGAAGATGTGACCAGAGATTTGGATTTGTGCTCTACTTATATTTAAATAGGAATTCATAATTAGAAATAATTATTCTACCAGAAATACAGGCTGTGTGCGTGTGATTGTGTGTTAGAAAGAGAACAGAGCCCAACAGAATAAAGACTGAGCTTGGCACAGTGAAGAGCTTCCTGTCAGCACATTTGAATTGGCCAGAGGCAGGGAGCTGACGGCTGGGACCAATCTCCAATTCATGTACTCTCCTCTGGTATTTGTCTGAGCACTCTTCATATGTTTATCCATTCAATCCTCACAGCACTCTCATGGGCTAAGTATAATCATTACCCACACTCGATAGATGAGAACACGAGACAAAGGAATATTAGGGAATGTGTATAAGATTGCACAGCCCACTGGATTTGAACCCAGGCTTCTGGCTCTAGAGCCCATGCTCTTGACCACGGCTCTAAGCTCTCTGTTCTTGCATTCAGGGCCTGTCTCACGGTTCCTGAAATCAGGCAGGCACATGGTCACCTTCTTAGCGTGATGGAGAGGAGCTTAAGCTTTGAATGAGAGACAGATTTGAATCACAGTTAGGTCGGCAAATCCTAAATCTCTGTCCTCATCTAAAAATAGAGATGAGAATTAGTTATTTTTATAATAATTATGTAAAGCAATGGACCCAGAGGAGTTACTGAATAAGTTATACTCATTCCAATGCAGGGGGCCAGCCCTGGTGATCCCAGCCCTTCAAGGTGCTAGGAGCTTGGCTCTCAGGTTTGGCCAGGGGGGAGTGGGAATGAAATCTCTCCTTCCTTCTTCGGTTCCTTTCCCTCTGTCTTACAAGTACACAGGGCACCAAAATGTGTGCAGCCACAGCAGCTCTTAATGTCGGCGGTTATCCTAACTGTGCTCAGAAGGCTTCAGTGGGAGCCTATGGGACTCTCAAATCCTGCTTGAGAAACGAATGTGGCATTAAGTAAGCCTATAGAAAAGTTTTCACTTACTTTTAATTAAACATTCTTTCCTCGTAGCCACCAATAGGGAGAAAATTATGTATCATGAATATTTAAGTAGAAAGAGAGTTTTATTGGTAGTTAATAGAAACAAACAAGTCACTTTTGGTAAAAAGGAGAGATATCCCTTACAAACAGTGGTTTTGCTAACTGGGGTTTTACTCTGAAGATGGTTTAAAGTGTATCCTTCATTTAAAAAATATTTAGCCTTTTATTGTATAGCCATGATTTGTTCATTCTAGCTCCTTTAGACAAAGGACATTGGATTCTTCTCCCATACAAAAATAGTGAAATATTAAAAAGCCAATCACTCATCCATCCTCTCCTCCAAGTTTTATTTAGTAAAAATACTAGTAGTTGAGCATGATGGTGTCATCTTGTAGATACGGGAACTAACATACAGATAGTAAGGAACGTGTCTCAATCAGTTAGTAAGTGATGATCTGGGAAGGCCGATGCCAGAGCTTGTGTTCTTAACCACCTGCTAGACTGATTCAGTAGAGAGCAGACACAAGGAATAAAATAGAGATCAAAGTGTCAGCTTAATTAATGGAATCCCAATAACTCCCCAACTGTAGGGGTTTGGTTCAACTATGTATATTGAAGGACTTTGATAAAAACAAAGGCAACAGTGTGGCTTTCTACTACTTGCTCTCCATCCTAGAGTTTAGACCCCCCTTTCCATGGACCCAAGGTCAGTTACCAATCTGCACGGAGAATCGCAGGCCTGGCTCTCAAACCTGGTTGATAACAGGAGAGCAAAATTATTATTATTTTAAAAATATTTTTATTGATTTCAGAGAGGAAGAGAGAGGGAGAGATAGATAGAAACATCAATGATGAGAAAATCAATGATAGACTGCCTCCTGCACGCCCCTTACTGGGGATCCAGCCCACAACCCAAGCATGTGCCCTTGACCGGAATTGAACCTAGGACCCTTTCGGTCCACTGGCCAACCCTCTATCCACTGAGCCAAACCAGCTAGGGCAAATTATTGATCAAAGATAGTGACCCTACCTTTTGAATGCAGTCACCCTGCTTCTGATAAATGTGACCCTGTGGATGTCATGCTCCCATGATGTCAACTTGGCTATACTTCCTGTGGAAAAGAGCAAGAAAGTGAAACACAGAGAAGCAGATTATCCCCAGGACGTCCCTGAGAAGCTGGAAAAGAGAGCAGGAGTTCTTTGCTTTACTGACAGAGAAGTGTTCCTGGGCAGTGAAGAGAAATCCTCCCTTCACAGGAGAGTCTATGGGTGGGACAACCAGAGCAGATCTCCACCTTCTTGATAGAGATTCAAGACTTAGACCAGGGAAGTTCACCTATAGGCCCCCTGACTCTGAGGCTGGTGATCCAGATGAGATCAGAGAGAGTGTTTTCCATGTCAATGAACTTGGTTAGGTTTGAAATATACCTTTAGGACTTTCATTTGCTGTGGGTTTTGTTCATACTTAATAATTTACTCACATATTTATTGCACCAAAATGATAACGTTGGTTCTCATATTCTCATCATGTAACTAATGAGCCACATTCACATAAGAAAGCAACACTCAAACTGATGTCATTTTTAAAGTTGACAAATAAGGACTACATTTCAGAATTTACTTCAACGAATAAACTTAGACTTTCCAACATAGAATGCTTATAATGCCTAGTAGAATTAGTTACCTTGCACATACCAGGACAGGGGTAATTTTTATTGATCAAATATAAGGAAATTTGTTTATTGATAATGAAGAAACTAAAAAGATTAATTTGGATTAAATATTACTATCTGCAATGTTGAATATTGCTTTGCTTCTTATAAATTTATACTAGAATGTCTTCCTAAATCTCAATCTAAACTATTATGCACATTTTTACTTGTAAATTAAAACAAAAACAAGATAAGCTGTATATTGATTCTTATATTCACTGACCAAGAAGATACTTAAGATATAAGTCTTTCTAATCCTGATTTAAAACTGCTATTTTAAGACTTTTTAAAAACTGGAAAGACAAAAAGGATACAGAACCTTTGTGAGATAGAGAAAAATTTAATACGCATTAAGGTATATAGCTCTATTTTTAAAGTCTTGCTTATAGAACCAATTCATATGTTTTCCTTCCCTCCTATTATTGAGAATTACAATTTGACAATATGACAAATACACATTAATATTTGAAAGGTGCTTCTTTTAGAAGATAAATAGATAAATGTTTTTCTTCTTCATAGATTTATAACCTCACCAACCCCAATCTTTTTTCCAAATGACATAGAATTTCAAAACTCAGAGAATCTAAGTTCCTAATTAAAATTAGAAGAAAAAAAAACTACTTCAAAGAATCAGAGACCCAGCTAAAATATGGTGAAACAAATTACCTCTGGATGCTAATCTGAGATTTTTCTTAATTTTTGCTTTCTCTAAATTATAAAATCAATATAATACCTAGATGAATTTTTTTAAAGATGAAAAAAATCAATTATCATCTGGATACCAACATAATTATTTCCAATTGTGCATATACGACTGATTCCTTCAGCCTGGTGCATGCACATTTTACACAGTTGAAATCATACCACATACTCAAATTTGTACTCTGATTATTTTCATGAATATCTTTTTAGTGATTATTTGCTATTTTTCTTCTCATTATTGAATACCAAATACATAACTAAAACAGTGTCTGGCACACAGTAGGTATCATAAGTACTTTAATAAAGAATGAAAAAAAAATGTCAAAGTGCCCAGAAGCTCCTTAAAGGGAGGATGTGTTGTGTATTATACTATAGGACAGAACTATAGCTGGTTCTCAGGAGACAAAAAGTATGAGTTAGTGGATAATGTTTTTCTTTTCACTTTCTTCTGAGAATTTCCCAGCCTCAAATCAACTATGTATGACCTTTGGGTTCTGCAGGGATGGCCTTGGGCTTGCTATTAAAGGCTATGTGCCTGTCATAGATTGCCATGGTCCCAAGGGCACAGGTGTTTGCTCTCCTTTGATAATGAGATCAAGTAGCCAACAGTCTGGACAGCTGAACAGGGACAGTCTGTGGAGAAGGAGGAGATGGTGAGGACCAGCAGGGCAGAGAAATCCATTTCACTTCAATGTGATGCAATTCCTAGCACTTTTCCATACATATATGATATTTTAAAGTTGTAATAATTGTCCATAGTTTTTGAATGCTGCTTTTTCCCAGTTAACGTTGTCATGTACTTTTGTTCATGTGCTACAAAGAATAGCAGTGTTATATGTAGCAGTGTATTCCTAGTTTGAATTTTATTGTAATAGGGTAGGTAGGACTTTTGGAAACATAAAACATGGGAATTAATGAAAGTTCGCCCTCTAGTGGATGTCATTCCTTTCTTGAAAACAATGCTAATACACATATGTATGCCATCCTATGCATCTATTAGCCTCCTGCATTTGAATAACCAGAGTTCAGGAGGTGAGTCTGTATAGTGAGGAATACCCACATCTGAATCTGTTCCTGGGTTTTGAAAAGTGAATTGTGGGAGTTTGGGTAGGAGGGCTACTTAGTTCAGGCCAGCCATGCTTCTGAGCAAATTCAGTACTGCTCTACCTCTCCAATCCCAATGCTTCCAGACATGAGGCCACTTGACTTTCAGGAGGAGGAAGGGTGGGTCACTTGTGAGGATGAGGAATACGAAGCTCTGGCTTTCAGATAGTCTAACAGATCATGTTTTCTCGTGAAGGCAAAGGAGATCTAGGGAAAAAGTCTAGGAGATTAGAGATACAGAAAGGACAGGGAGGTCTTTTAAAGACAAACTGCCTATTTTAAAATTAGGCCTGCACCCAGGACACTTGCCAACGCAGTTATTTTTTTTTATAATAAAAAAATGCATTCCAAATTGCAAGGACATACATACACATGTGACATAACTCCTTCCATGCTGAACAGCATCATGGCACAGTGGAAATAACTTTAGCCTCAGAATACCAGCACATTGTGTTCAATACATGTTACTATTGCTAGCCAGTGTCTTCTATCTATACAACTTGATATTTTAAAATTGTGGCACACCACTGATACTAGTATAGATTCAATCTCATTAAAAATCCATAGATGAAAATCTACATGTAAGTGAATATTACAATGTATGTGTGTGGTATAAGCCTTATTTTGGGGGAAATAGCTGGTTTTTGAAGTTCTATATAATGTAGATTTATATACTTAACTAGAGGACAAGTGCATGAAATTTGTGCACAGGTAGGGTCCCTAGCAGTTGCTGGCCGCCAGCCAGGGCCTCCCTTCCCTGGCTGCCAGCTGGGGCCTTCCTTCATTCCATGCCACCCTTTGGTGGTCAGCACACGTCACAGCGAGTGATCGAACTTCCAGTTGGTTGAACTCCAGAGGAGACACTTTGCATATTAGGCTTTTATATATATAGATACATTCATGATTCCAGTTTTAAAATGTTCTTAATATGCAATTTAAGATACATGTATTTGCATTACATTTGTGTAAGGAAGCTTTTTTCTTAAAATAGTTTAGTATTATTATTTTATGGTGCTTAAAACCTTACTGTTATTTAGATAAAATAATCTAGAAGGCCATACACCAAACTAAAAACAATGGTATTTTTCTTCTTTCATTTCTAATTTCTTTGTATTATGTTTATATGTTTTTTTCATAATGAAAAAAAAAAGAGAGACTTACGTTATGATGCATATGTGCAGGAAGCACACGAGAGAGCAACACTTGTGTGGTAAAATATCAGTGTGTTGATCCTTCACACTTTTTCTCCTTTAGGGCAAATAGATTTACAGAGAAACTCAACCGCAAGGCCCAACGGAAATGCAGTCAATTGCAGGACCTGAAAGGAAAATGGCAACAGTGGGCTGATGAACACATACAATCCCAGAAGCTCAACCCTTTCAGTGAAGAATTTGATTATCAGCTGGCCATGTCCAGCCGCCTCCACAAGGGAGACGAAGGCTATGGCCGTCCCAAGGAGGGAACTAAAACAGCCGAGAGGGCCAAGCGAGCCGAGGAACACATCCATCGGGAAATTATGGACATGTGCTTCATTATCCGCACAATGGCTCGCCACAGACGTGATGGCAAGATCCAGGTCACTTTTGGAGATCTTTTTGACAGATATGTTCGTATTTCAGATAAAGTGGTGGGCATACTCATGCGTGCCAGAAAACACGGACTGGTGGACTTCGAAGGAGAGATGCTATGGCAAGGCCGAGATGACCATGTTGTGATTACTCTACTCGAGTGAACCTTCAACAGCAAAAGCCAAACTTGATCCACTATTGTCTTAATGCTAAATGCTAATTTAGTCAAATTAAAATGCAAACTGTTCTGTAATAAGTAGGATATATTAAACAATTTTTACATGAATGACTTCTGGGTACTCTATTTCTGAGGACGTTTGAAGATTTTTGATAAAGCACACACAAACATTTGAAATTCTACTTATCCTTTTAGGCAATAATATTTGGCTATTCATTGCAGACATTATTATAGATCTTTAATGAAATAATTACTACCTCTAAGAAGAGTGCTGAGTTTAGGTACATATCAACAGTACATATTATTATGTCATTTTTCAGGAAAAAAAGAATTCCATTAAGTTTGGCAAAGCAAATCTTAAACTTTTCTAAGAAGCTTGACTTTGTACTATTATTTTAATCATAGTATCACTTACAAAATAGGCACACAAATAAAAAATTAAGATTTCAAATAAAGTAATGAAATTGTTCAAATTTCTCTGTGGGCTTCTTATGATTTAATAGGTTTCCACAGTTAGCCATGCATCTTTGTCATTTGTGCAAATCACATGAAAACAGACATCACTGGTTGTCTTGGAACCAACCAATAGGAAAGGCAGTTATGTTCACTTTTGCTATAAAAGTAAAACAGAGATGAGAGATCAGATTTAACTGCCCTCAGAGGACTTCTTGGAGAAGTTTATTTTTTCTCAAAACTGTAATGTCATGCTGCTTACATTTATGTCAGCATATAATGAAGTAGTAGTACAGAAAATTCTACAATAGAGTGTTTATGTACCTTTTCTTCATACTCTAACAAACTTTATAAAATATCTGAAAATTATAAAACAGCAATATTAGACCTGCCACAGTGAAAAAGTTAGTTTAATATGATGCCAAAGAAATATTTGACACTAAACAGCTATTTGTCATTTTTTTCTCAATCAGATTTAATGTTCTTTATATAATTATAAAAACAAACTGAAAAAATGTGATTGTAATTCTTACTGAATTCAATAAAAATTACTAAATTATAAAGCAGTTTGGTGTTAAGTATAGAAATTAATGTCAAATTATGATACCTCAAAATAATAAATTCATAATTGTTAGGTATTAGGTTTACTATAAATATGGATTAAACTACTATAGAAATTAGTTATTTTCATTTATGATTCTTTTAAAATTAAAGTTCCAATAACTTCTTAAAGAGGGCTTGTATATTTGTTTTTATATAATTTAATAATATAATTTGTAATTTAACAAATGACCAATATTCCTAAGTAGAATTTCATGTAGGATGTACACTTCTATCATAACCATGAACTGATGTCAAAATTCTAAGATATGGTACAAGAACAAAAGACATTTTCTTGTATTTCCTGTTCTTGTGTTTAGAACACTAGCTTCCTTTGAGGAAAATGACTGCTATGGGACAGATTTTTATCTTAAAAATCCCATGGTAGAAAAACCCAGTGGAAAATTTAGGGCTTTTAGAGAGAGAGAAAAAAAAAGTAGAACTCAGAGGGCAAACAAACTAATGAAAGTCCTCATATTTTCATAATCACCAAAATAGTCTATGAAAGAATTATAATAAAATATACTATCAATGGCATTTTACTATTGGTAGTTCTAAACTTCCAATAATGGGTCCTATATAATTGGTTTCCAAATCTTCAGGATTTTCCTTTACCAAACTTTCCATAAGATATTTAAAGAGTTTCTGGGTTGTTGACATGTACTATATTTTACCACTTCTGTCTGGACCTCCAAATGTTTGATGGCCTTTCAATGTTTATAAGTTTTATGACTTCTTCCTTCTCAAGTTCACCCTGGCCACTTACACCAACAGGAGAGAAGTTCTGTGCTTGGGTTTTCCTCCTTCCCCCACAGTTGAAAAATGAGGCTGGACCTATATTCTTAGTTTGCTTTTTTGCTTTTTCCTTTCCCTTCCCAAATTCAAGTTGTTTTCTTCTTTACTATTACCAACAGGTGTACCTATCAAGTGCTGTGGGAATAATTCTGGGTAAACTAGAATTTTGTGTTTCAGGGACTCAGGGAACAACTGCTATACTTTCTCTCTTAAGTCACTCTGTTGGGGGATTATAAAAAGGAGCAAGAGACCATCTGGTCCATACTAAAGTGGCCTCTTAATGCAGATGATTCCGTGGGATTCCTAGAATATTTATTTTCATTCCCATTACCTAGGATATTTCTTAGTACACAATTTATAAATGTGCTATGTGACCTAACCTTAGTCTAGAGAAGTGGTTCTCAACCTTGGCTGCACATTAGAATCACCTGGGAATCTTTTTAGAATCCTGATTTCTGGGCCCCATCCTCCAGAAATTCTGTTTCTTTGTTACTAATGTTGTGGCCTCACCCCATAACAAAGAAACAGAATTTCCGGAGGATGAGGCCCAGAAATCAGGATTTTAAAAAGATTCCCCGGTGATTCTAATGTGCAGCCAAGGTTGAGAACCACTGTAGACGTTTTCAGAATGCTGTGGTTGACAATCATCCCAACAAGGGTTAACTGATAACATGTATGCCTAGATTTTGAGGGCATGTCAGTATCTAACAAGATTACATAGCATTTACTTTTTGACCAAGAAATTTCACTCTTTAAAACTCCCCTTAAGATACTACTCAAACAATATGAAAATACGTATGTGTAATGCATTTTTAATTGCAAGTCACTGCAAAGAACCTAATACATATGGGAAAATGATAGAATAAAATATGGTACATCCATATAATGTATGCAGCTCTAAAAAAGGAAGATCTTTAAGAACTGAAATAGTTATTTTTAGAGAGCATGTGTGTATACACACACTAGATTTTGTACACACATATATACACACCCTGGATTATATGTGTGAACATGTCATATATATACACTGAGTGGCCAGATTATTATGACCCCCTGACATTTGTAGGCAAATTAGCTATAATTTCCCGCTGAAGTTGCTAGAGGGCCAGATCATTATAAACGTATGAATAGCACAACATACCTAAGTATCATTGCTGATCAAGTTCATCCTATCATGTTGATGGCATATCCCAATGGAGATGGCTTCTTCCAACAAGACAATGTGCCATGCCACGGTGCTCGTATTGTGCAGGAGTGGTTTCAAGAACATGAGGGAGACTTTACCTTGCTTAGGTGGCCCCCACAATCATCAGATCTCAATCCAATTGAGCATTTGTGGGACGAAGTTAAAAGAGCCATCAGGCAGCTGGTTCCACAACCATCAAATCTCACAGAACTGGACAGTGCTATTCATCAGGCATGGTGTCAGATTCTTCGCATCACCTTTCAATATCTTGTGGAGTCAATGCCAAGAATTGCCGCAGTATTGAAGGCAAAAGGTGGCCCAACGAAGTACTGACGTGGTGGTCATAATAATCTGGCCACTAGGTGAATATAAAACCTCCATTTTGAAAATAGGGATGGGTGGAAATAAGTTGAAAGAGACAGAAAAAAGTCCTGTAGAATTTGGATTTTGGAACCTTTTAAATGTTACATATACAAAAAGTAAAATTAAACAAATGAATGGGAAAAATAAAAATTGAATACAAAAATAATAACCATAATTCTATTTCAAATGATTAAAATAAGCACACAGGAAGGAAAAAGAAACATACATAACTTTTGAATACAATCTTGAGACAAGCTGCAAAGAAATGCTAAAATCTAATTTTGTTTGTGAGGGTATGGGTGTACAATTCTGAAACTATGTCTTAGATGAAGAAAATGAGTAAGCATACTGATGTCCTCGGTGTGGGAGAAGAGACAAACATGGAGAGGAAAGACGAGGAAGAATCTGTAATGCTAAACTGGTTAGAAGTATCGGTGTGCATTTGTGATGTGTGCATTTATTTCCTACCTCTGTTTCCCGAGAGGCCCTAGAAGCAATGCCACCCCAGCAGCAACATGCTACTATCCAGATTTCAAAATGCCATCCTCCTTAAGAGAAAACATGTCTACTTGGAGAAATGACTAATTCTAGGATGGGGTTACACAAAGTATAGTTAAGTTTGGAACATCATGTTGCACCAGAAGCAAGCAAGGTTCAAAGACATGGAGAAATGCACAGAAGCCAGCTATTGGGGTTCCCATTGGTTAACTCTAGGGCACAAATAGATTATTCAAGACTTGGAATTAAGGAAAGGAGCCCACTAGTCATACTAATAATGGACATTGTTTTTTTTTAAAAAACTAACCTCATTTTATTATTTTTTTAATCCTCAACCAAGGACATGCTTAGAGAGAGGGAGGAGGGAAAGAGGGAAGAAGGATGGAGGAAGAAACACCTATTGGTTGCCTTCCATTCATGCCCCAACAGAGGATCAAACTTGCAACCCAGATATGTACCCTGACCAGGAATCACACCAGTAACCTTTCAGTACACAGGACACTCAACCAACCGATGATCCACTCTGGCCAGGCAATGATAGATATTCTTAAATGATGGAAAAAGGAAAACTCTTCCTTACAGTAGATGCCAAATAATAAATGTGCTGGGAATAAAAGAAAAATGATTTTACAACCATTTTAGTAATTCAGATAAGAATCCTCAATAGATACCAAGAACATTGTGAAAAATAGAGTATCTATGATATCAAAGTACCTCCCTGCACATTCCTTATTACAAAAGGAAACATGATAGCAGTGGAGAAACATGGTGCACCACTTTCTTCATCAACTAATGGAAGCTTTCACCAATAAGGGGATAAACATAAATCCTAATATGATGCAGAGGACAGAACATCACTTCTGTGGTTTTGCTGCCAAAAATGCGTAACTTAAATTTAAATATAGGAAAAATTCAGATAAACCCACACTGAACTCTTCCAGGTTGAAAATAAAGAAGATAGAATTAAATGCAATGAAGGATCTTGGATTGAATTATGTATCAGAAAAAAAAATAACGCTTTAAAGGATATTAGAACCATCGGTGAAATTTAAAAATGAACTATATATTCAATGATATGTTACATTTCCCGAATTTGATAATTGTATACTTAAAGGACCTAAAAGGATATCCTTGTCTCTAGGAGATACATGCAAATGTTTATATATATGGTTTGAGAGTTATTAATCTCAGCAAAATAATAGGTGAGTGGGTATGT